CGCGGTGTAACAAAGCTAAAATAGATTTACAAATGGGGTTTTAGAGGATAAGCTCCTCCACAGGATTACATATTGATTTTAAATATAAAAAGCTTATCATATAAACCATAACTACAAAAATAGTGAACCTATGCATAAATCCTTTTAGAAGAGCACCCACTTCAAACTATAAGCCAAGAATAAATCAAGATGTACGAAATCCGAAAGAAGATCCATTTCTTGGGCAGAAAATGAACACACCACCCTAAGGTGTGCAAAAATGAACTTATCTTTTCTAAGGAGGCATTAAATCTCGAATGAAAAAAAAAGCAGGGAGCCGGAGGAAAGGTAGCTGAAAGTAAGGCATCCCTCCGCCCGGGCGCGGACGTGGTGAAAATCGGGCCCTGAGACGCAGCAGCCCCTTGTCTACACGAGCCGGTCGGCTCCCAGGCAGCCAAAACGCCTTCCCCGAGCGCAGGTGAGGCCCGACCCAGCGACCTGTTTTCCTTGGCCTGTCAGGCAGGGGCTGCAGGCCCTTCTCGCTCCTCGGCCACGGGAGAGGAACTCTCTCTAGCTGGATGCCGGCAGCGCGTCCCGTCCCCTCTCTCTCATCCCTAGGCTACCCGGGGTGGTGCAGGGGGGAAGCGTGCCCTTTTTTTACCACCCTCGGTTGTTCACGTGTTCCGCGTGAGGTGCCGCAACACTCCAAAAGGCTGTTCAGCTGCGCAGGCCTCCATCTTAGGGCGGGCTAAGAGGACACTGTCTCCACATCGCTGAACACTGTAACGGTCAGCACCTCCAGACGCCAGCGCTGCCCACACGCTGCCTGCGCAGGCAGGGCAGGCCGGCCGCCAATAAAACCCCTTTATCTGCAATCAGCAGGCTGCTACCTTTTGCAAGGCTTTTTTTTTTTTCCCTCTCTTTTTTTCTCCCCCCCCCCCCCCCCCGCCCCGTCATCAACTAGCTAAGTAAATTGGTTGATAGATTTTTAAACAGCACAGTCACGCGTGGAAGAGTTAGTGCAATTTACCAAAACAGTAATTATCACCTTTCAAAGACTACTTCTTTTTAAGTTCGAGTTTGGGTTGGTGTGTTCTGCCTTTCTTTTAGACAAACAAACCAGTCCTGTCCTGTTATAATTTTCTTCTTTTTTTTTTTCCCCTGCTCATATATTCCAGGTTTGGAATTGGTGTTGGTAAAAGTGAGATATTTTCACGGAGCCCAAGCCCTCGTTAGCAATCAGCTAAATGGCCTCATAGGAAATAACGCCGGGCTGTTTAAGCAGCCCATGCTTCTTTGGGGAAGTCATATTATAAATGGCATGTTTTTACTGGTGCTTCCCAAAAAGTGTATCTTTGCACCCCTGCATATGTCAGACAGAAGTGATACAGCACCGATGTACGCGTCAAGAGGTGAGGTGTCACAAACATGTATTTTGAGTTTTCACAGGCATTTTCTTGGAAGAGTTTCTCCTTCAGTATGTTTTTTAGGTAAAAGGAGAGAGCTGCTAAAAGTTCTGCCAGTCTAATAATCTTGTTAAGGGTTAAAATGCTAAATGCAGACTTTGTTGTATAAATAAAGAACCTCAAAACATAACCAAAATTCTTCAGTACTTATGTTTTCTCTCTAAACCTCTGTTTACTGTATCAGTAGCACCAAGGAAAAAAAAAAAGAAAAAAAAAAAAGGTCTTTCCCGGGTTTTGTCATCCCACTCTGAACTTGTAAAAATAAATTTTAAAAGGTCAGACTTTTGTTCAAGTTGATGTGTGAATGTCATAGGCTGCTAGATATCCAAAGGCTACTTCTAGGACATCCCAAGACAGTAAAACATCTAAGAGGCAATTAAACATTGAAATTCTGGATCTAAATCCAGTATCTCTTAGCTCCTCTCTGCTTTTAGAATACTTTAGGTTTGAAACATTTCATCAGTATGATTGCAAATTAATCTGGATTGTCTCTTCAGAAAGCAATGTATATATTTATGACTCAAGTTTATCCAAGAATATAGTGGACATAAAAATATAACCACAGAGAGCTATGAAAAAGCTACCTGAAACCTGCTGCTTTTTTCCTACAAACTTATGCTCCCAGTGAAGTCTCCAAACTAATTAGAATTGATTTATTATGGATCAGGTACCTTATCAGGTGAAGAAAGAAATTACCATGGACAGTCAAAGGGTTGAGAGGTCAATACAGAATAGCAAAATCAATTTGCATTGATTAGACAAAAGGTCCATTTTACAGAGCCCAAAGGATTAACTTTAAAGCAAACATCTTTGAACTATAAGACAGCATTTGTGACTGAGAGGTATAAGCGGTGCAGCATTAGAAAACACTTAAGATATTTAAATAAGAAAATAATGCAAGCAATGGTTTAAGCTATCTGGATGTTTATTTTTTTATTATGAATCATCCCCAGGATTACTGTACAATTCACTTGAAAGCCCTATGGAAAAGATGCAATTGTTTAATTTATCCCAAGTGTCAATCTTCCCACGAGTTTTCATTCAGGTAAGGTGACTAAACTTGGGAGAAGTGCAGAGGAGGGAGAAAATCTGTGCAAAGGATCGCACTAATCCTGGTGTTGCTTGTGATTAAATATTTACTTGGCAAACATAGTGTTTCACCACCAAACCTGATGAGCCATTTTTTTTTTCCCAGTGAAGTACTGTTGTAAAACAGTTCTGAAATATTAAAAGCAGGATGTGCCCTTCTGTGGGTCACCCCATCCATTTTCTGTGGTACCGAAAGCCTCGCGATGCCGCAGAAAAGCCAGGAGAGCATTAATGCAACAAAAAATAATAAACCCCTGGCAAATAATCTTTACCTCTTCACCACTTCATTTTCAAAGTTTATTCCAAGGAGACCACATTTCTTTGTCCCATATCTTGGACTTTGTTTTGTTTTGTTTTGTTTTTCCCCTGAATAAAACTTAAGAATGGGATTGCGGACTCAGTGTTTTTGCTGTGTACTACCACTTGAAAAGATCTAAACAGCAGCACTAATTCTTAACTGGGCTTGAGAAAAGCCTTCATGTTTGGTACTTTCAGGTGGCCGCCTTCGGCAGCACGCAGGTCCCCGGCATTGCTCTTACCTTCAATAGCCAGCATTGCTCTGAGCTCCCGGTTACGCAGTTCG